CCCCCCCCCCCCCCCCCCTTGTGAATTTCCAATAATCTTCCATGAAGGGTATGAATATTTTCTGGAACCACACAATGGTCCCTATAGAACCCTTGCATGCGACGTCAAATCAGCTCAAATTGGAGGACAAAACAAAATAATCGTAATCTCCCATGTACAATTAGAATCACATTGTTACGTCCTCCAAATTAAGCTACATTCTAATGTGCTGCAAGCCGGGTCGACCTATAAACATGTGAAAAATTCAAATAGGCACCTATAATTCTTATCTGTTTCACATTAGGTATTTTTAGGTAAACTTGTGAGTCACTAACTTGATAGAAATAAGTATACCAATTATGCAAAAAAATATTTATGTAATTACCATTTTTCTTTGTGGTAATAGGAAGAGTAAAAGCAACTGAAGTAGTCTTATCAAAATCTGAAAAATATATAGAGATTAAAATAAATAATTGAAAAAACAGAAAGAAAGAGAGAGAAAAACATGCAAATACAGGGGCGGCGGAAGCGGGGGGGCCGGGGGGGCACTGGCCCCCCCACTAGATTTTTTGGGGGGCCCTGGCCCCCCCAGAATATAATGCCTCACACAAAAAAAACGCATGAGATTTGGTTATGATTACCATTATTTATTATTTTGATATTACATAATTTTCTGTATCTAAAAAATATACGATATATCTAGCGACGACTTGCATCATTTTTGTTTCTCTCAGCACAATTGCAAGTGGTTTAATGCGCGCAAAATGTTACTGATTGAAATATCACACATACACGTTTGTAATCAAGCTAAACAGGGAGGTGGGGGGGGGCATTTCAAGGTACCGTGAAATATTGGAGTGCCCCCCCAAAATGTTTCAGCTTCCGCCGCCCCTGAAATAGCAGCTAGAAATATTATTTTCCTAAATCAATATTTGAAGAATATCTTTAAAAAATGAGTGAGTGGGTTACATTATCTAGTACTTAGTTGTATTTGATCATATTCACATGCAAATTTGTGCCATATAAGTATTAAATTATTATTATTATTATTATATATTATTATTACTATATATTATTATTATTATTTATTATTTTATTACTATTATTATTATTAATCCCAACAATGTCAATGATTTCAAGAAAATTGTTTTAATAAATTTGTCAATCAGTGCATTAGGAGGTTTTTCTAAAGAGTCAACAACATTTCTTGAAATGCTAGCTGAACTTGGTTTCGATGATAAAATCATTCAGTATACAATCAAGAACATTACATCCATTGCAATAAGAGCAACATATTACATATTTTGTTGTAGGAATAAGGAATGGTCAAAGAATTGTTAAACTGTTAGTTTTTTTTCTTCTTCTTCTTCTTTTCTTTATAATGATTTGTTGTGCTTGTTAACGTTCGTTTGATTGTATTATTCAAAATTCTTTTTTCTATTCGATTCAAGTAGAAAATTGTAAACTGCCTAGGTTATAGTGAGGTTTACAGTTGTGTGTAAGAAAAATTAAAATAAAGTTTACACATTATTATTATTATTATTATTGTTGTTGTAATTGTTATTATTATTACTTCATGGAGGTACAGAAATATGATCTCCAAACACATTTACTATTATATGATAAACACTCATGCTAATGCTCATGCATAACATTTCTACCCTTTAGCAAATATTTAAACATTCTTTTACAAATTTTTACCTTTTTTTTCATGTTCCTCACTATTTTCTATGGGTGGTACAGGCAAATCATCATTAGAACTAAGTATTGAATCTGGGGCAAAAGTAAAAAAGACTAAATCAGTATGTATTTATCTGGCACCCTCCATCTTGTTGGTTGCCCCTGGCTTCCTTCTTCTCCTTCAAACATAGTCAAGCATGGGTTGTCCTTAGTTTTTCGCACAAAAACACAAACCCGTTGAAAAGAGGAAACTCATTAGAAAGTTTCAAGCAGAGGCAAACATCAATACTAGCTTTCTGAATTGGGCTACCTGTATTTGCATAGATAGAATTTAGAAAATAGATAATGCTAAAAGAGGTATGACATACACTCTACATACACTCAAGTACAGTATTGGAAAATATTCCCTGATATTCTCTTCACCTTCAGCGAATAATTGTTTTAGTATTCTATGCAAGCAGCACAATTCAAAAAATGAGTGCTAACGTGCACGCATTATATTAACCTGTAGGTGAATATCGTACAATATTCACCTCCAATTAACCAATGAGCGCACGCGTTCTTAGGATGTACACAAGTTGGTATATGCTAAAGCAGTATAAGACATAAATTGAGACCAATGAGTGCGCTCATTCACAATGCATGATGGGATAACCCTGGATCCTCCTCTGATTGGATGGAGAGTAAATTCTTGTGCAATGTGATATTTCTCTGGCATTTGCCAGATCAATTATGAATGCTATGTATAGCCTTCTTTCTTAGATATGTTTTAGAGAACCATGATGTGACTAAGTGTAGAGAATTTCAGACCGTTTCATCGGTTTGTTCCCGAGTTGTGCAAATTTGATTTTCTTCGCGTAATGCTCCCATTTCGAGTTCGCCTTTGCTCAGTCTTAGCCGCGATTGTGTACAAACGTGTTCGTTTCTTTTATTAGCGTCTATGGTATAGTATACGTAAGGAATGTACGAAAAATGGAACAATGAAGTTGATTAAAATGCCACGGGTTTTGGTTGAATGACTGAATACTATAACGCAAAGGCTGAAATAGAACTTGAAACTGGGGAGTATTCTATACTGGTTACGGGTCTGCAAAGTAATAGAAATTCGAAAAAATCGCCAAGTCAATCATTTTAATTAGTCTTCTAAATGTCTTTTCTCAATTCTTTTTATTTATGTCTATAGACAACGTGAGTTCGATAAATTGTTGCCTGCATGAATTACTTTTTTTTAAATTTTGGCCGCCATCTCGTAAAAAAATCGCCGAGAACTTGGCGTTCGTTCGCGATCGAAGCTCGTTTCAGAAGTTCTCTAATACTTTTTTGCTTAGTTTTGTATTATTGGTGGCTCTGCATGATCCGTAGGGATTGTTTTTTGATTGGAACCGAAACCATTTCTGGCACAAGCAAGCTACCCTTGGTTGACAGCAAAAACTACGTGGTTGCAAAAGAAGGGAATACTCTAAGGTGGGTACACGTAGCCGGTTAAGTCTATAATTGTACCAATTCCAGGTTCTTGAATGGAATACTTCGACGATACGGCCGCCATCTTGGATCGCAAGGCATTGTGGGGCACCTCTCACCTCGGTTTCGTTTATTTTATTGATTGCAAAATAAGTAACAAGTAAGAATACTTGAGAGAAATATATTAAGCAAAGATAAAAAACGTAATGGTAAGGGCCAATATATAACAGGGCTCTCGCTCCAATTGAAAATTGTCCTTTAAAACAATTTGCATTTGGGGTCTCGGATTCGGTTTTAAACTGGATTCGTACTAGTCATCACAGTAAAAAGAGTTTGTTAGGCCTCTCCCTAGCCTTCTTCACAGCGGTCCTTAGAACAGGGGTGATCCCAAAGGAGCTTAATCTACCCTCTCCTTTGAAATGACGTTTTTTCGAACTCAGTTTATGACGAACAACAACTGATTAATTCATAATAATTTGTCTTATCAACCATAGATTTAATAAATATGTTCCGAGCTTTCGGCCATCCTCAGGGAAATGAAAAACGTTACAATTGTCAAAGAAAAACGCGATCAAACCATGGCATATGTGCGCGCGCATTAAATTAAACAAATTCGCGCTTAGGAATAAATAAATAAAACAAATTAATTAGGTACATTATGACTATTCGACAGTAGTACAAACCAATGCCAAAGTCCAAGAAAATTCGACTAAAAAAACTCAAGATCTAGAAGTCCACATACAAGCTACGAACACCACGACGTCCAGTACGACACTGCGAGTTGGTAGAATTTAAGATTTTTGAAGAAAGTCCAAGCCAAGCTCAAAACGGGGCGCATGCGCTGTTATACCAGAATTGGGTTTTATGGGTGGCGTATTGGTTTACCGCTCGCCTCTCACCGCTGTGGTCCGGGTTCGAGCCCTAGCTCAGACTGGATTATATATGTGAGTTGAGTTTGTTTGATGTGTTGTTCTCTTTCCACTACGGTTTTCTCCGGGATCTCCGGTTTCCTCCTTCCGTAAAAAGCAATATGTGAGTTTAGTAAAAATACACAGGTGATTATTGAAAATCTCGCGTGCTGATTGGTCGAGAAACTCACACTATTATCACGATAATCCAAAATGGCGGCCAGCCGCTCTGTTGCTGCAGTTACCGGAGAGGAATTAGAAATAATGATAGAAAATGCAGTCCCCAAAAGGACTAGTTAACAAATTTGCACTAACTTTTGTTCAAAGGTAAAAAAGGACTTAAAACAATCAAATAAGCTGTTTTGATTCGCAAAGTCGGAGTTCACTTCACTATCAAAATTTTTCCTAAAATTTTTCCTAATCTTCTTTCTTTATCTTCTTTTCGAAGACTCGCGTCTCGGTAAATATTCCCCTATATTCACTTCGCCTTCGGCGAATAATTGTTAATGAGTGTCGTGTGTTGTAAATATAGAATGTAGTGGTACCGAGTGCGTGTGGAGGGAACCTCACGGAAGAGCCGCATATGGGAAATGGAAGTTATATAAGTTATTATAGTCCAAGAAATCCTGGTCTCAAAAAATAGATGTAATACCAGAGCCCTCGAGTAGTATAGGGAATGGGGGTTCCAGCGCAATCTCAACACGGGCAAGATCCG